GAGTGATTTAGGACCGTTTTTCACACTTACGACCCTTGTACCAAGCCCACGTCGCATGATTTACGTTCGGATGTTTGACAACCGACTCACGCTTATGACGGTTGCAGCGTCCCCAGGGGGGAGGGGCTGTCACGTGATCCCCTTTCGCGACCATCCAACCCGCAAAGTCAACGGGGAAGCCAGATTCGCTTAACGACCGGGTGACTAACCTAACAAACGGAGGCGACTCGCTTAACAACGGCGGCAAGGAAGGTCGTGAAAACGGGGCAAAGCTCACTTCACACAGGTCTCGCTTTAGCTACACAAATTTTGGGCTCCGTTGCGGTCGTAAGTCTAGGACCACCCGCACTTTGCCGGCGTGCCTTTTGGCATTGCACACAGAATGCCTAGGAAACGGGTGAAAATATTAAGCGTTTCTTATTTGTGACGTCCCAATTTTGGCATTCTACTCATTTAACAACGGCACTGAAGAAACGTGGCAAGGAAAGTCATAAAAACGGGAGCAAAACTCACTGAACAAAAATTGTCCCCTACGCAACCGCAATCTTTGAGCACAATTGTGGTCGTAAGGTCGAGGACTACCTGTAATTATCTGGAGAGTGGGAACAGACAAGAGGTAATATTCAGCCGGTTCAGACCGGTTCGCCCGTACCGGTTGCGGAAATCCCGGATGGATCGGCCCACACTCCCCGGCTCCATGCCGTCCTATTTCGGCACGTTTTTGAGCCCGGGCGCATGCACGGAACGCAGGTGTGAGTGCAGACTGGGCATGTGCGCGCAGAAAGCGAGCGTGCGCGCGGCAAACGTAGTAACATCATGTGAAACCCACTTCTGGAACAGACCCATAGAGAGACCCACATAGAAACATAAGCGTTTCGTATTTCGACGTCCCAATTTTTAGCATTCTACGAAATGCCTGATTTTACACACGGATGGTAATAGACAGATAGATAATAGATAGATAGATAGATAGATAGATAGATAGATAGATAGATAGATAGATAGATAGACAGACAGACCCTATTTCCCCGAAAATAAGACCTCCCCTGATAATAAGCCCAATCGGGCTTTTGAGCGCATGCGCTAAAATAAGCCTCCCCCCCAAAAATAAGCCCGCTCCAAAAATATTTAAATGCAGAGCTGGAGATCAGATAAGACGGCACGAGGAGCCCCGTCTTGCTCCATGCGCCCCAAAATAAGGACCCCCCCCCAAAAAAATAAGGCCAAGCACTTATTTCGGGGTTCCAAAAAATATAAGACAGGGTCTTATTTTCGGGGGAACACAATATTATCATCATACATCTGTCATCAAAGCAGGTGTGTTTTTCTGTGTAATTCTTTAAAAATGTTAAAATCTTAAGTTCCAGAGTTCGCCGTATGTCTGCTTCTTTTTTTACACACACACATATATATATTTGAGATATATAATCAACTGTGTTTCCCCGAAAATAAGACCCTGTCTTATATTTTTTTTTGAACCTTGAAATAAGCGCTTGGCCTTATTGCCATGCGCTCAAAAGCCCGAGTAGGCTTATTATCAGGGGGATGTCTTATTTTGGGGGGAAAAGGTATATATATATATATATATTATATATATATAAATATAAACCTGCTTTGATGACGTTTCAAACAACATTCGCAGGGATCGCCTGTCTAAAAAAAAAATCCGAGAGTTGAGTGGGTGTTTAACGCAAGAGACACACGCAAACGGTTTCCCCCACAGCCCATCATCATCATCATCAGCCAAGCCCGAAACTCAAGCCAAGGAGGGAACGCTGCCCACAATTCAGCCGAAGCCACAATCGCGCAAACGTGCTTCCCAATTGTGCAAAATGATTTCACAACCGGTCTCGGGTTCCCTTTCCCTTTCCCAGGCTAGGGAAAATGCAAATCACCCGGAAATCGGAAAGACACCCAGGGCAGGGCTGACGCGCCCCCAGAACGGCAGCTGGGGTGTGGGATGGGAACCGTCATCCAGGTCTGCTGGAGGTGCCCGATTGGGCACCCGTGGTAGCCTCCGCCCCCCCCCTGCTTCGCGGTTCTCAACCAAGTTTGTTCTGATTCAGAAGCCCCCCCCCCTTTCGGGGCACTCTGCCCACGTCCCGCCACTTGAAAAGGGGGTGCGTGGAGGAGAACCCCAAGGGCTGCCTTCCCTCCGTAGGAAATTACTGGGGGGAAATTTTCTCCGTGAGAAAATTTCTGGGGGGTAGGGGGTGGGGGTGTACACATATCTCATTCATCCTCAGAGAACCGTCTCGATGACCTCACGTGACCCACGAGAGGCCTGCCACTGTGGCATCCAATGCCACTGCCCCCCCCCATTCTTGGGGCAACAGTGTCAGAAAGTGAGCGGTTCAAAAGCCATTCTGGGGGTGGGGTGGGGACGGGAAGGAGAGACCCCGTCTGCCCCCCCATTTTCTGCCTCCCCCCCCCCGTTTTTTAGCTGAGCGAGGGCACCCCGCTCTCGCGCACAGACCGCAGCGATTTAAAAGCACAAGGAAAAAGAAATTAAGAAAATCTCTGCATACACACACACACACACACCAGGGGGACCTCAACGTCCCCCCCAAAAAAACGCCCCCCCAGAGCAAAATTTGGCCCAGGGGCCTCACCTGGCCTGGCCCGTCTGCTTGTCCCGTCCTCAGCACCCGCTCGCGAGGAGATTCGGTGGTTGCCTGCCCGACCGGTTGGTGCCACCTTCCTTGCCTGGCTGCACACACCCTGCCCGTCTCACCTGGGCACTCTTAAAGGGCCAGGCACCCCTTTTTTTAAAACACCTGGATGGAGGGGAACACCAGCGAGCAGCCAGGGCAGAGACACCCCTCCCCTCCTCACCCCCCTCCCCAGTTCCACCATCTGCCGCCGAACTTCTAGACTACCTCAACCTACCAGGTCCCGTCCCCGTTCCCCCCCCCGCGCCCAAAAAATAAAAAAGAACACTCTGTACATGCTCAGGAGTCCTGCCCATCTTTGTAACCGCTGCAGGAAAACAAGACACCAAGACAATGCCCCCTGTTTTATTGTCACAGACTTCCTCTAACTCACACCGACGCCCCCCCCCCACATGCACTTCTACCCCAAACCCACCCACCCCAATTCTGCCCTTCAACAACACAGCCCTTGTCTCTCTCTCTTTTTTATTTTTTTGGCTTGGCACAGGTTTTCCGTGGGCAAAGTCCCTTCTTTCTCCCTCTGACGGGCACCCACCCCACAAGCCCACCGTCCCCAGATGCCGGAAAGTCAAGGCTGGCTGAGCAAGGAAGCCGAAGCCGGGGTGGGCCCCCCCCTCCCCATTTAATTGTAAACAGACAGACCCCCTCGGCCGAGTTCACCCCAACTTCCACGGCCTACAAAATGTCTCCGGATCCACCTCCCCTTCTCATCCATCACTGTCCGATTTCCAAGCTCCGATGACCGCCAATCCCAGGTCCGAATCCGACTGACAATTCAAATATAATTCCCATTTTTTTTCTCCCCCCCCCCAGTTCCTCCCAATGCATTAGAAACCCACGGCAAAACTTTCCGCACCCCAAAACTTCTTCCAATCTGGCCGGCGAGACCCTCCTCTCAAGCCACAATCCTCAGCAAACCCCCCATGCCTGCTACACACACACACAAGACCCCCCCCTCCCCAAAGTCACGCAACTCAGCTCTCCCAAAACGCTGCATCCCCTCCCCACATCCCCCTGGTGCCCCCCCCCCGTCTGCCCCAATCGGGCTCTTTCAAGCCCCTTCCCCTTTTGTCTGATTTTCCCCAAAAGTACACAAAAAAACGCAGCACATTTTTGGACCGTCCCGCAAAGTTGGAAGTTGGCACAACCGAAGTGTGGGTCCACGCTCATTGTGTCCCCAGCTGGAGAAAGGGATTAAAATCAGCAGGCACCAAAAAAAGAGAGATCCCTTTCCTACCGGATCCTCCGTTCAGAGCTGGGCTCCCAAAGGGACCAGATCCACTGGAGCTGTTAAGAGGAACCACTTAACAACTCGCAACTTTCCGCCCCCCATCCACCATCGCCCCAGATTTGCCCCCGATCCTAACAAACCCAGGGGAAGGGGCTCCCTCCAATCTGACTTCCAACCACCATTCCTGGTTTGCTGGATCCTGAGCTGGTCTCGCAGGGTGCCCGCTGCTGAGCTATCGGGCATCCCAACAAGGATAAGGATAAGAAGCCGGAAGAAGGCAGCTGCTGGGCAGGGGCCCTGTCAACTGCCCTCGAACTCAAGACCCTCCGGGCCAGATCCTGGTTTGTTGTCACGGAGACGGACCCCGGGCCCATAAGGATGCCAAATTTCCAAAGAAGGTACAAAAGATCCTTTCCCCGCTTCGGGTCAGGCCACTGGCAAGTTCCTGCCCGCCTGGGACCCCCAGCTCAGGATAGCAGCAACTCAAGAGGAGTGCCAAGTGCGAATTCTGCCCCTCCTGCCACCCTCCTTGGATGGGCCCCGGGCATCCCAATTTGAAGGTAACCGGGCAGGCCTGGAAGCGAGAGCGGGGTCTTTGCTGCGGCCAAGCCAAGCCAGCTGGTCTCTCGTCCAGGGGGGCATCTGGGTGCCACCGAGACAGGAGTGGCCGCAGCACCCAGCCTGCCCACCTACCCACCCACCCGGCCGGAGGAGGTGGGGGGAGGGAGGCCAGGCCTGTGCCAGACTTGGGGGTGGGGGTTTCCTCCACCCGTCCCTTCACTTTTCTTCCCACCCGATAACAAAGCAGCCAGGAAGCATAACACACAAACATACATACACAGGGCTGCCCCCACAAGCCCCTTTGCCCGAGACCCCCCCTCCCCAGTCCACCCCCCCATCAAACAGGGTCGGTTCAGTCCAGCGCCCACCCACCCAAAGGGAAAAAAAAAAAAGAAACGAGAGAGAAAAAGAGAGGGGAATAAAAGAAAAAAAAGGGGGGAGAGCGCCAGACAGACAGCGGAGGAGAGGAAAAGAAAGAGGGGTGCGGAAAGAGAGAGAGAGAGAGAGAGAAAGAAAGAAAGAGAGACCAACATTACCTGCAGAAAAGGACGGCTATGATTTTGGGGATGTGGGGGGGGGAACCCCTCGAGGGTCTCTCTCCCCTCGCCTGGCTGGGAAAAACACACACACCAAAAAAAAAAGGAACAAAAAAAAAAAAGCTGTGGATTTTCTTCCCCCCCCCAAAAAAAAACACACACAAAAAAAAAAACACCCCCCCACCAGCCTCCCTCTCTTCTCTTCTCTTCTTTCCTCCGAGGGAAGAAAGAATGAGAGAGAGAGAAAAAAAAGGAGAAGAAGAAGAAAGAAATCGGAAGGGCAGGAAGAAAAGAAGGAGAGGAGGTGGGGGAGGGAAAAAAGCCCCCCCCCCGCCAAAAAATAATAATAATAATAATATTAAAGCGAGGGCCGAGCTGGCTTCTCCTCCTTCTTCTCCTCCTTCTCCTCCTTCTTCTTCTCCTTCTTCTTCGGGGAGCGGAGCGGGGTAAATCCAGCGCGATCCTCTCCGCTAAGTCTCTCTGGCTGGCTCGGCTCGGCTGCGCCCCCCCCCCCTCTCTACTCAAACAAAGAAATGAGGGTTGTGTTCCGTGCCCAGCCCCCTCCCTCCCTCCCTCCCTCCCCCCCCTTCCCCAGCCCAGACATATCCTCCTCCGCCCCCTCCCTTTCCGGCACAAGGCGGCCCCGCTTCCATGTTCCCAGCGCGCTCACACATGTGCTGGAGAGCCCGCTGGCGGAGGGCAAGCGAGGAAGGAAGGAAGGAAGGAAAGGAAGGGAAGAAAGAGAGAGAGAGAGAGAGAGAGAGAGAGAGAGACCGGGCTCAGCCGCCCCCGGCCCCGCCAGGCAAGGAGAGAAAGGGAAAGGAGGAGAGCAAAGGAGGGGAGAGAGGGGAAAGGAGGAAGGGGAAAAGGGAAGGGAGATGGAAAGGAGGAGAGGAAGGAAGGGGAGAAAGGGAAAGGAGGAGAGAGGGAAGGGAGGGAGGAAGGAAAGAGAGAAAGGGAAGGGAGGAGAGCAAACAAGGGGAGAGAGGGAAAGGAGAGAGAGAAGGAAGGAGAAAGGGAAGGGAGATGGAAAGGAGGAGAGAGAGGGGGAAGGGAGGAGAGGAAGGAAGGGGAGAAAGGGAAAGGAGAGGGAAGGGAGGGAGGGAGGAAAGAAGGAAGGAGCGAAAGGGAAGGAAGGAGAGCAAAGGAGGGGAGAGAGGGGAAAGGAGGAGAGGGAGAAAAAGGGAAGGGAGATGGAAAGGAGGAGAGGAAGGAAGGGGAGAAAGGGAAAGGAGGAGAGAGGGAAGGGAGGGAGGAAGGAAAGAGAGAAAGGGAAGGGAGGAGAGCAAAGAAGGGGAGAGAGGGAAAGGAGGAGAGCAAAGGAGCTGAGAGGGAAAGGAGGAAGGGGAAAAGGGGAAGGGAGATGGAAAGGAGGAGAGAGGGGGAAGGGAGGAGGGGATGGAAGGGGAGAAAGGGAAAGGAGGAGAGAGGGAAGGGAGGGAGGAAGGAAGGAAGGAGAGAAAGGGAAGGGAGGAGAGCAAAGAAGGGGAGAGAGAAAGGAAGGGAGGACGGAAGGAGAGAAAGGGAAAGGAGGAGAGCAAATAAGGGGAGAGAGGGAAAGGAGAGAGAAGGAAGGAAAAAGGGAAGGGAGATGGAAAGGAGGAGAGAGAGGGGGAAGGGAGGAGGGGAAGGAAGGGGAGAAAGGAAAAGGAGGAGAGAGGGAAGGGAGGGAGGGAGGAAAGAGAGAAAGGGAAGGGAGGAGAGCAAAGAAGGGGAGAGAGGGAAAGGAGGAGGGAGAAAAAGGAAGGGGAAAAAGGGAAGGGAGATGGAAAGGAGGAGAGAGGGGGGAAAGGAGGAGAGGAAGGAAGGGGAGAAAGGGAAAGGAGGAGAGAGGGAAGGGAGGGAGGGAGGAAGGAAGGAGAGAAAGGGAAGGGAGGAGAGCAAAGGAGGGAGAGAAAGGGAAAGGAGGAGAGCAAAGACGGGGAGAAAGGGAAGGGAGGAGAGCAAAGAAGGGGAGAGAGGGAAAGGAGAGAGAAGGAAGGAGAGAAAGGGAAAGGAGGAGAGCAAATAAGGGGAGAAGGGGAAGGGAGGAGAGCAAAGAAGGGGAGAGAGGGAAAGGAGAGAGAGAAGGAAGGAGAAAGGGAAGGGAGATGGAAAGGAGGAGAGAGAGGGGGAAGGGAGGGAGGGAGGAGAGGAAGGGAAGGGAGGAGAGCATAGAAGGGGAGAAAGGGAAAGGAGGAAGGAGAGAAAGGGAAGGGAGGAGAGAGGGAAGGAAGGGAGGAAGGAGAGAGAAGGAAGGAGGAAGGGAAGGGAGATGGAAAGGAGGAGAGAGAGGGGGAGGGAGGGAGGGAGGAGAGCAAGGGAAGGGAGAGCAAAGAAGGAGAAAGGGAAAGGAGAGAGAGGAAGAGAGGAGAGGAAGGAAGGAAGAAAATGAAAGAAGGAGAGAAGGAAGGAAGGAGAGAAGGGGAAGGGAGGAGGAAGAAAAAAGGAGAGAGGGAGAAAGGGGAAGGAGGAGAGGTAGGAAGGAAGAAAGACAGAGAGAGGAGAACAGGGAGGGCAGGAGGGAGGGAGTTTGAAGGAAGGGGAAGAGAGAAAGGGAAAGGAGAGGGAGGGAGGAAGAGAAGAAAAGGAAAGAAGAGAGGGAGGGAGAGGAAGGAAGGAAGGAAGAAGTTGAGAGGCAGAAAAAGAAAGAAAGAAAAAATGAAAGGGAGGAGAGAGGAAGGGAGGAGAGGGAAGCGAGAGGGAGGGAGAGGAGAGAGGGAAGAAAGAAGAGGGAGAAGTCAGAAGGAAATAAGAAAAGGAAGAGGAGAGGGAAGAAAAAGGGAAGGAGGGAGAAGAAGAAAAAAAGAGGTTCTTTGGAACAAGCCAATTTCCTGAAAACCCAAATGGGGGAGGGTTGGGGGGCACCAATGGCAGGGCACGTGTGGGGGAGGGGAGGGCATCCTAGCGCAGGAGGAAGAGGGGAAGGGTCAGGGTGACCCCCTTTTGAAATGGCCAGGCACCATCCAACACCCTACCCCCCCCTCTTCATTTCAATTCTGGGAGTTGAAGGCCACAAGCCTTAAAATGACTGAGGAATTCTGGGAGTTAAAGGCCTCAAGCCTTAAAATGACTGAGGAATTCTGGGAGTTAAAGGCCTCAAGCCTTAAAACGACTGAGGAATTCTGGGAGTTAAAGGCCTCAAGCCTTAAAGCGGCTGAGGAATTCTGGGAGTTAAAGGCCTCAAGCCTTAAAGCGGCTGAGGAATTCTGGGAGTTGAAGGCCTCAAGCCTTAAAGCGGCTGAGGAATTCTGGGAGTTAAAAGCCAGAAGCCTTAAAGCGGCTGAGGAATTCTGGGAGTTAAAGGCCACCAGCCTTAAAGCGGCTGAGGAATTCTGGGAGTTAAAAGCCAGAAGCCTTAAAATGACTGAGGAATTCTGGGAGTTGAAGGCCACAAGCCTTAAAGCGGCTGAGGAATTCTGGAGTTGAAATCCACCAGCCTTAAAGCGGCTGAGGGATTCTGGGATTGAAGGCCACAAGCCTTAAAGCGGATGAGGAATTCTGGGAGTTAAAAGCCAGAAGCCTTAAAATGACTGAGGAATTCTGGGAGTTGAAGGCCACAAGCCTTAAAGCGGCTGAGGAATTCTGGGAGTTGAAGGCCTCAAGCCGTAAAGCGGCTGAGGAATTCTGGGAGTTGAAATCCACCAGCCTTAAAGCGGCTGAGGAATTCTGGGAGTTGAAGGCCACAAGCCTTAAAGCGGATGAGGAATTCTGGGAGTTGAAGGCCACCAGCCTTAAAGCGGCTGAGGAATTCTGGGATTTGAAGGCCACAAGCCTTAAAGCGGCTGAGGAATTCTGGGAGTTGAAGGCCACCAGCCTTAAAGCGGCTGAGGAATTCTGGGATTTGAAGGCCATAAGCCTTAAAGCGGCTGAGGAATTCTGGGAGTTGAAGGCCACCAGCCTTAAAGCGGCTGAGGAATTCTGGGATTTGAAGGCCACAAGCCTTAAAGCGGCTGAGGAATTCTGGGAGTTGAAGGCCTCAAGCCTTAAAGCGGCTGAGGAATTCTGGGAGTTGAAGGCCTCAAGCCGTAAAGCGGCTGAGGAATTCTGGGAGTTGAAATCCACCAGCCTTAAAGCGGCTGAGGAATTCTGGGAGTTGAAGGCCTCAAGCCTTAAAGCGGCTGAGGAATTCTGGGAGTTAAAAGCCAGAAGCCTTAAAATGACTGGAATTCTGGGAGTTAAAAGCCAGAAGCCTTAAAATGACTGTGGAATTCTGGGAGTTAAAAGCCAGAAGCCTTAAAATGACTGAGGAATTCTGGGAGTTAAAAGCCAGAAGCCTTAAAGAGGCTGAGAAATTCTGGAGTTGAAGGCCACCAGCCTTAAAGCAGCTGAGGAATTCTGGGAGTTGAAGGCCTCAAGCCTTAAAGCGGCTGAGGAATTCTGGGAGTTAAAAGCCAGAAGCCTTAAAATGACTGAGGAATTCTGGGAGTTGAAGGCCACAAGCCTTAAAGCGGCTGAGGAATTCTGGGAGTTGAAGGCCTCAAGCCGTAAAGCGGCTGAGGAATTCTGGGAGTTGAAATCCACCAGCCTTAAAGCGGCTGAGGAATTCTGGGAATTGAAGGCCACCAGCCTTAAAGCGGCTGAGGAATTCTGGGAGTTGAAGGCCACAAGCCTTAAAGCGGATGAGGAATTCTGGGAGTCGAAGGCCACCAGCCTTAAAGCGGCTGAGGAATTCTGGGATTTGAAGGCCACAAGCCTTAAAGCGGCTGAGGAATTCTGGGAGTTGAAGGCCACCAGCCTTAAAGCGGCTGAGGAATTCTGGGAGTTGAAGGCCACCAGCCTTAAAGCGGCTGAGGAATTCTGGGAGTTGAAGACCTCAACTAAGCAGCCGAGAGCCCCAGTGCCCAGCTGCGCCTGGCAGTGCCAACGGGCACGCGCAGAACGCCTTCGCGCTAGAATTCCCGGGTTCGGTTTCCCAGTTGCGGGTTCAAGAGACGCAAACTGCTTCACGCCTTGCTTCGCACGCCAGTCCGCCGTGCCGTTCTCCCCAATGCCAGATTCACTTAACGACCGGTGTCACTAACTTTTAGCAACGGCTGCGATCCGTTTAACGACGGCAGCAAGAAAGGCGGGTCAAAGGTGGCAGGCCACACTCAACTGGAACAAACGTCGCGCTTAACAACAGAAACGGCGGGCTCCGTTGTGGTCGTAAGTCGAGGACTACCTCCACCTACAGATGCGGGGGTGGGGAAGAGGGGGTCCTTCCCTCTTAAATCAAGGAGGGAGCCATGCTGCCCTGAGGCCAATGGAAGCCCTCCTCCCTCCCCACCACAGACAGCTTGAGAGGGGCTCCGAGTTCGAATTCTCCCACACTAATCAGGCCCATTTCTGGGAAGTAAAAAAAAACCTGAGTGGGGGGGTAACGGGAAGCTGGACCCCCCCCAAGACCTCCGCGATAAGCAGAATTGAGTCTGCTTATGGACAGTTGCAGGAGAGGGGAGGGGGCTGTGAGTGCCTACTCCTACTCCCCCCCCCCAGATCCAGAGGACCAATCCGGGAGCAGGGTGGTGGGGAAGAAGGGGGCTTCC